TTTAAAAAATACATATCTGTTCTAAAAATATAACTTTTCTATGAAAATAAAAAAACAAGCGCCCCTTTTTGTTTGGCGCCCATAGTCAGTTGCCAAGTTAGCAGTTGCCTCAATTTCTCTAGCATTTTAAATCAATAGCTTACATTTATCCGCAGTATTTTTATAATTGTTTAATTTTTGAAATTCTTTTACAGGCATACTTATTATAAAAATTCAAATGTTTGACAGCTGCCAAGACGCAATTAGGGATAAACTTTTTCGGTACCATCTACTAAAATGAAGATCAACTACTTTATTATTTTTGAGATTAATTTTTTTTAAATACATTGATTTGGATATGAAATAATTATATAATCAAAATACACAAAAATGAATTTGTCAAAAAAAAAAACGCGCTTATTAGCAGTTTTTTTTACTTTAAATATTGGTTCATATTTTGGTTTCATATTGGTTCATAAATAGTGGTTCATATTTTGTTGATTTGTTTACTTTTTTTAAATCAAGCAAATGTTAAAAAATGTTTTTTGAACATCAAAACATTCGATTTTTGGTACATCAAGCTTTTATTTTGGTACATCAAGCTCTGATTTTGGTACATCAAGCTTTTTTTTTTTTTTTTTAGTTTATATATATTTGCTGTTTATATAATAAGAAAATATAATTACGAAGAAACATTTACATACAAAAAAAAGTTGATTTATAAAAACAGACAGGGGCTCAAAAAAGATGCGGATGACTAAAGTCACCACAATCTTTTCATAGAGCCCCTATGTGAGCTTTACAAGTTTAAAGTAGAATAAGATTGTTAAAAATACAATTGTACAATTCCAATATAATAAAAAAAAACTTTCATAAATATTTACATTTAAAGAAAAAAAAGAAATAGTATTAATATAATTTTAACATTAGTCATTTGATTTTTGGCTTTGATTTTTGGTACATCAAGCTTTGATTTTGATGCAGTATAAATCTTTATGTTTAGGACAAAATCATAAAATTCAAAAAATGTATATATTTACCAAGTTCTTTTCGTTCGTAAAGAAGATCTAAAAAAAATTATATTGTTTCTAGAAGTGTGAAATAAGCTCTTTCTAATTATGCAAATAAAAAAATTTACGAACAAAAATTTACGACCCCAAATATATAATTTTTAGCTACAGACTGATATTGAAATTTGGGTAAGCCTTACAAAAAGTACCACCAAACCAAAAATAGTAAACACTTTGATCTAAAAATTTGGTAATGTTCATGAAACATATTTAAAAACATTCTGACAAAATTTTATTAAAATCGGAGATGGTAGAGGACCTCTGGACCATTTGGTAGGGGACCTCTGGACCATTTGGCGTGGAATGACCCAATACTAGATTAGCAGCAATAATAATATCAAAGGTATGGTAAGATAATATCGTTTTATTAGTAAAACAAAGTTAGTAAAAAGTTAAATGTATAGAAGATTTATTTTTAATTTTTTTTTTTTACCATATAGAGTTTAGAATATATATTGGGTATTCTTTAAAAATTTAAACAAAAAATATAAAATAATAAAGACAAGTAAAAAAAGCATATTTTTACTCAAATTTTTATAGTCAATTTGTGAATGGCGCATTTTTTTTAAAAAGCAATAAAACGCTCAAGTTACTTTCACTTACTTTACTTTTGTAAAACAACAAACGTAGATGTTTTTCGCGTTAGCTCGTCTTTTGAGCTTGTGTATAACATATTTCTACCTTTACTTCTCTCAACTTCGGATGTATATTTATATATATTCATAATATTCATTATATATATGTATATTTATACATATTCATAAAAAATACAAAGAATAAAGTCTTTTTTAGATTAATAAGTTTTATTTTGTATTATTTTTGTAAAGTGCTTTAAGGTGGCAGTATAGTGGGAAAAAAAAGTTGAACTTTATAATAACTATTTTTTTTTTTTTTTCAAACGATTTTTTAACTATAGATACAACTTCAGCCAGTGAAGACCAGAGAAATTTTTGTGAAATTTATTTCAGAAAACGAACCATTGAAAATCAAAGACTTTTAAAATATTTTCTGTTTTTTACAATAATGCAATCATTTTTGAAAATTTTTATTTTCTTTCATATTTTTTTCACATTAGTTTCTTTATAATAATGTATGTTTTTTTTGTTTGTTTTTTTTTTTTGCGTTTTTTGCGTTTTTCTCTGAATTTAATTTTTGGGGTGCACCAAGAATTTGTCAAGGGTAACCCTTTATTTAGTCAGACAAAATTAATAAAATTTTCCTCGTTTTTTTATTTTTTGTGTTAGATTGTATTGAGCAGGTCAGATTTTTGAAATTTAATTTCTTTGAATAAATTTAGCACAAAATAATATTTCTCCAAATTTAACCCCCTGATTTTAAAATTTCAAAATATTGTTTCGCTCAATACCATCATCACACAAATTCACATAGATGTAGTATTTTCTAAGTGAAATCTGATAAAGTTAACTAATTAAACTCTTGCCAAAAGATTATTCAGTTACCTGATAAATATGCAGAATATTACCACCCGGTTTAATATATATATATATATATATATATATATATATATATATATATATATATATATATATATATATATATATATATATATATATATATATATATATATATATATATATATATATATATATATATATATATATATATATATATATATATATATATATATATATATATATGTATATATATATATATATATATATATATATATATATATATATATATATATATATATATTATACAAATTATTTTAGTCTCTTCTTTATTGCATATTTGTATGAAGAAAAATCAAAATTTTTTTCCCACGTTACTGCCACCTTAAAGAAACAAAGATTTTTTATGTGTAAAGATTGCTTACAAAGACGATTTTAGGGGGAGGATGTGTGAGGGAAGGGGATGTTTTACCCCTCAAAGAACGTGATATTTAAGTTATAGTCGGTTTTTTGACGAATTTAGTCGGCTAGTCGGGTATTCGACACAATTCAGTAGGGTGAATTTGAGTTTTTAAGGACCTTTTTTTTATTCTTAACTCTTTCGCTACAGCCGTTGTAACAAAAATCTTTTTTGCTGTGATCGTACATTTTTTGAATAAAATTTGAATCGCATAACATTGACAGCTAGTTAAAATGCGAATAGTATATCTCTTTAAAAGCATAACAAACTTTATATAAATAGAAAGCAAAACAAACAAACTTCTAATTAAATAAGTTTTTAACACGCATAAATGAACAATAAGAAATGCAAATTACTTAAAACAATTTTTTATATATATAGTAAAACATTAAATTACTGTACAAAACATTAAATTATTGTACAAAACAAAACTCATTTAATGTATAAAAAGCACGTTTTTCTTGAAAAAACTTTTCCCGAACGGCACAAACACGACTTTTAGACGTTTTTTTTTTCATCTAAATAGTTAAGACCTTTTAGATGTCTAAATTCAGATAAATATTAGACATCTAATAGTAGCCATCTTTTATACGGCTTGAGACTATTGAGCTATTATTTGTCGTGTCAGAGATAAATACAATTATATGTCTTATAGTTATCTGATTTTAGACGTCTAAAAGGTGTTAACATTTTTGCTTCTAAAAAGACGTGTTTGCTGGCTGGGTTGTAATTACTTAGCTAAATACTCATACATTTCTACAAGTTAAATTTTATAGTGTTAACACTGCTTTATTTTAACTAAATTTAACTAAATTTAAAGAAATTTTTTTTTATCAAGTATTACTCATGATTTTTTAACTTTGTCAAGTGATAACTAATCATATTTACACATAATGGCTTTTATTTTTACTTGATTATGTAGAGAACTAATTAAACTTTAAGAAAAAAACAAATTATACGTGTCTAGAATGAAAATTTATGCACAAAACAAGATAAATTGTGAAACATACTCGAAAGCCGCTACCAGCGGCTTGCAGTCAAAATTTAAAAAAATCAAAAGCCCCTGTCAGCGGCTTGTGAAAGAGTTAAAAAACGGTTCTTATTACGGATTCCCCCCCCTCCTCCCCTGATTTTTTAATATATTGATTTATAAAGTCAAAAATGTCCTGGGCAAGGTTGTGGCAAGTGAGACATTTTTTTTAAATTTTTTTTTTTAGGTGCCTCAAGATATCCTTACAGTCTTATCACAGAAACCGCGGAAGAGCATTTGAAAGAAAGTTTACGCCTCCTTTCTTACCAATGTTGTAAAACTTGCCCAGAGGTGGCATTGACAACGGATGTCTAGCTTTTGAGGCAAGCGCGTTAACCGCTGCGCTACGGCTTAAACGCACTTATTTAAACATAGCGGTGGAACTTATGATCTCAAAATCATTAGTTCTTTATTTTTATTAATAACTTTATTTTTAAATAGATCTAATTTATCAAAAAAAAAGTTCTTTCTTTTTACCTTTGTTTAATTAATAACGTTAATAACATTTAATAATTAAATCAAGAAAAAATTGTAAAATGCTGCAAATATTTATATCAAATCTTTTTAAATATAATTTTACAGTTTTCAGTAATTTGTATGCCAGTTTAATATAGGAGGAGCCCATTTGCAAAACGCGTTATGTCCGAGCAAATTGGTTTTTAGATATTGAAGGAAAACTGACCCACACGTATTTTGCGCTCAAAAAAAAAAAATTGTTGGTAAAAGTTACTTCAGTGTAGTGATACAAATCAAGTATGCGCATAGGAAATAATACAATTTAATAAGATCATGAAATAAACCTGATTAAATTATTGACTTTGCTTATTTTGATAATGTTAGATGGACTTAGATTATTTAGAAATAGGTTAGTTGACGAAAACCTATACTTGTATATATAAATATAAGCTTTATTGAATTCATACAAGGTTTATTTTGTTTTAAAAAAACATTAAAATGATTTGAAAGTAAAAGCTTTGATTTGCATGAATTATTGAAAAAAGTAATAGTATAAAATAATGGGAACAAATAAAATACTATGGTAAAAGTTGTAGATTTTTTGTTTAAAATTTTGATCAAAGAAAATGCTGTACAATGAAGTTAAACATGATTACAAGCAGCATCTCTTCCAAGACAATTGCATATAGTATCTTTCTTATCTTCTGGGTCTATAAAAGAGAAATAAACTATTAAATTCAATTAAACGAATGCTAAAATGAATAATCATTTTAATCGCACGTGAATCCAGTACACCTACACCGTTATTTTTGTTAATAGAAACTAAAAATTAATAAACAGGGGGGTGGGGGGTTAATAGGCTTAAATAGCTTAATAGGCTTGGATGGATGGGAAAAGTTTATAAAAATTAATCAAAGTCCCGTCCCGTGTATTAGACACCTAAGAGTAGGTATAAAAAATATATATGCTTTGTGTTGATTAAAAGATTTATTTCTTGTTTTTAGAAATTTAGAAATAAATAATAATACTATCTTTCTTTTTTTTTTTTTCTTTCTTTTAGTAAGATGGTTTATTTTTCTCTAACAGCTATAAAACTTTCTCTAATTTCAGCTATTTTGTATTAGGTGATAAATTTTAAATAATTTGATGCGCCAAGAAAAAGTGTGCTAATAATAAGTATAAACAGACTTTTCATTGGTTGTTAAAAAAATATAATGTCACTTATCGCTCAACTGATTGGCTTCTGACTTATCATGTTTAGAAGCTTTAAACCAGTTTGACTTATCGTGTTTTGAAAACGTTTTGATATTTCCCTTACCTGTTTTTAGGACTAAGAGCCTTTTATTAGAACTAATATTTAAATTGATGATGGATTTCAGTATGTAGAATATAGAAATGGAATTAACTCAAAAAATTTTATTGACTTCGCGCGTTTTTCAGATGGGCATATATTGACAAATACGGCAATCAACATCAATATGCTTAGCAAATAACAGGAAAAAACAGTTTTAGAAAATTTTTAAAACAAGTTATCATAGTTGCTCTTAAAGTTATAATTAAAAAAACTCAAAAAATACCAAAAAAATGTTTTTCAAAGGGGGTTTACTAAAATTTTTATGATTTGCTTTACAATATTTTACTATAAAACTGTCCATAACAAGTGCCTAAATTAGACATAAAATTTTACCCATTAATTATAAAATAACTCATCTTTTTTTTTTAATTTCCAAAATTTTTGGAAATTTTCAACCCTAATATATATATGTATATATATATATATATATATATATATATATATATATATATATATATATATATATATATATATATATATATATATATATATATATATATATATATATATATATATTTATGTATATATATATATATATATATATATATATATATATATATATATATATATATATATATATATATATATATATATATATATATCGCGGTATTCCAAAATGCTCATAAAATTAAAATTCCTAATTTAAAAGCGAAAAAATCCCATTCTCCAAATAAAATTTGCCAAATTAAAGTTTAATAATTCTAAAAATTATTGAAAATTAATTAGTATTAAAAACTAATAGAAAAATAACATTAAAAATTTATTGTTTAAAACTTAAAAAAAAATTCATATCTCAAAAATTGCTAATAATTTTATGCAATGCGTTCCAACAACAGCAAATATTATATATATAAAAAAAAAGTTAGCATGAAATAGCACCTGTGAACAGCCGTGGCGTAGTGGTTAGAGTTCTGGCTCAGAACCCAGAGGTCCTAGGTTCGACGCCAGCTCCAGCCCAAAAATCGCTATTGGTACGGAAGGAGGCGTGAACTTCTTGTTAAATGCTTTCTGTGATAAGACCGTAAAGATTTCTGGGAGCACCATAATTAACATAAAAATATGTTATCTGTAACACAAGTGTGTTTCAGATGACATAAGAAAATATAGAAAATATAAAAGATAACATGTATATATACATAGAGAGAGAAAAATTTACATTGATATAAAACTATTTTGACTTTAGAAAAGACAGTTGACAAAAGTTGGTGGAACTTCCTGTCATGGAAATGTCAAAGCCATATTTTTAAAGTAAGTTTGTCAAAAGAGCTATAAACAATACTGGTAAACTGACCTACTGAATTTCCGTTAAACTGACTTTTACTCAGTTAATTTATATAAAAGTACTTGGTAACTGTTTTATTATAGTAAAATTGTATATTATAAAGTAAAATTCGTGTCAAAACAAATTTAATTTTTTACTTTGTTCATTTTGTTTATTTTAGACTCTTGGCAAACAAATTGATAATATGTTACAACATTGTTCAAAAATAAATCTCCATTCAAGAAAACAAACGTAATCAGAGTCATTGTGGGTATGTGTTTTCTACTTGAACATTTTTCGGAAAGACTGCATTTTTTTTTATTTATTTGAAATAGCAAGAGCATTGTAAATATTGGTATAAATTATAACTAGATAAAAGTTTCTGATTTAGTACAAAGTGAGAAATCATTGTTTTGTCAGTTAAAATATTTAGGCAACCTATTATCTGCTTGTTAGTGGACAATGAACTATATATTTGAAGTTATTTAAAAGAAGTGCTTAATTTACTGCTTTAAGTTTGCCGATTGACTTAGGAAATCAGAGATCGATTTTGATATAATATAAACATTTTAACGCTATTAGACAAATTATTATATTCTTGCTTTATAAAAAAATTTTTTTTTTAAATATATTTAATTGTATAGAGCTAATAAATGTTTGTGTTATTTTAAATAGCATCCTAAAGTATACACTAAATGAAGTGCACTAGTCTTTTGCTAATCATCTAAAACATGCTCCCGAGAGAAGAGATGGTAGTGGGAATGGCTGTAAAGCAGAAGGAGAAAAAGACTATTATAATAATAAATCTAACATCATAATAATAAATCTAACACTAAACGGTGTCTAAGCATTTTCAAAAAGAAAGTTTTAAAAATACATTTTTGAACAAGTTTAGTTTCAAAATCGGCTTGTAATTATATTTTTTAAAGTCTAATTTGTGCTTTCAATTTTAAATTCTAATTTGTAATATAAATTCTCTTATCAAGTTTGGATATACGTTCGAATTAGGACGTACATCGGTATTTCAAATCTGAACCAAATCTGAACTAAAATTGTATGTTCCGTCCGAACGTCTTTTGTACATACAATGAACGTACCCGTGCCCGCTGGGTAAGGGGCCATCTATATATCATGTACGCAAAAATCTCCAGATTTGGACTCTCTTCCCCTTGTTACACATGGTACATTTTACATTTGTGTAACAATGTACCTTGTTACACATGGTACATTGTTACACATATGCTTGGTGTAAACAACTTTTTAAATTAAAATGTCTATATTGTTTTATAGGCTTCTGCATTACAAAGGTTTTATTTCGACAAAATTCAATTTTCGAATTAAATTTTTAAAAGATTAAAACAATTAAACAATGTTTTAATTATTTTAAAGTGTGGTTTTAGTCTTATCAAAACTTTGATCATTTGTAATTTTAATTTCTAAAAATAAGTTAACATTAATATTAACTTATTCAAAATTATTTTTGTACTTTTTTTCCATTCACGCTCACGTACGCTTTTTTTTCCGCTGTTCAACCTTTATAATCTTAATAGGCCATGAACGTGAGCGGCGTTCACGTTTTATTAATGGTCATGTGAACGTAAACTGCCACCTCAAATTTTGTGTTTGCGTACGCACATTTGTTTAACCTTCATCCCCTCCCCGTCCTACGTTACGCACTGTACGGAAATGACTCCCCCCTCGGTGCGTACATAATATATGAATGGCCCCTAACAAACATTTTTTGAAATAAGTTTATGATGGTGTAAAACTGTTGTTGTTTTAAAAAAAAGATGTAAAACAACTTTACACCATCTAATGTTGATATAATGTTTGTAATGGTCTGTAATATAAAACACCTTTTAATGGTGTAGTGAATAAAAAAAGGTGTTATTTTATACTGTTTTATAAAAAGTTTCACCAAAACGGTGTAAATTTAATTTTTTTTTCTTGACCAACTTTCAAAAAGCACCTTTTGATGTTATATTAACACCAATTAAGAGTGTACATACATACATACATACATACATACATACATACATACATACATACATACATACATACATACATACATACATACATACATACATACATACATACATACATACATACATACATACATACATACATACATACATACATACATACATACATACATACATACATACATACATACATACATACATACATACATACATACATACATACATACATACATAGATTTAGATTTTAGATTTGATAGTTTTCTTGAAGTTGGAACTTCAAGAAAACTATCAAATCTAAAACCAAATATTAACCACATTATCGACTGGATGAAAGAATTTAGAATTTTACTAACGTGTCAATCAGACAAATTAATATGTTAGATAATGTATTGTAATATTAACCGCTGTTGATTTAGACAAAGGTATCATAAGGTAATGCTCATTTTTCAGGAAAAAAAGTTATCAAATACAAATTTTATATTGGATAAAAACCTTTTTTAATTTGTTTTTTTAAGTTCTTCAGCTCGATTTGGATAGTTTGACATCATATAATCCTATATTGTTCATCCTATATCCTTATTTTTTTGTTGTTACTATTGAAACCACAACAAAATCTTTCTGAATTAACCTTTATTTTATTGATAAATCTATCTAAATTTAATTTTAAAATATTTATATATTTAAAATGCGAAAAATTTCCATAACAATTTTTAATTTTGTATGAAAAATACTTCACAGAGGAAACAAAAACTATTTAGAAAAAAAATTGACCATGGTTTAGTTAAGGTCTTAAATACTTCAAAGCGAAAACAGTGACTATGCGATAGATATCTTAAAGCTAAATGCATAAAAACCAAAAAAAGAATAACCTAACTAAAGGTTTGTATACATTTTTTTTGGTCTATAAATTAACTTAAAAAAGAGGAATTAACATTTAAGGAATTTGACACAGCTTTTAGAAGCTTAAAACGAAACAAATCTCCAGACTTAATGGTGTAAATGGTAAGATTGTTGTTGGCTATTATAAGGAATTAAAATTGCGTTTGTAAATGTTTCTTGAAAGTTGAAAGTTTTTTCTGAAATACTTAAAGCAGCAAAGTTTAACTATTTAAATCAAGTTAAAAAACCAATATTGGTATTTATGAACCAATATCAATACTTTCCATTTTTTCAAGATTTTTGAACAACTTATGTTTAATATATAATATATATCTTTTTCAAAGATAATTTATTTCATTCAAAACAGTTTGGATTTCAGAAAAACACTTCATTTGAACATGCAATACCATTATTAATTAAATAATTTAAAAATTATTTTGAAAACGAAGAATTTACTTTTGATGTATTTATTGACCTATCTGAAGTGTTTAACACAATGGATCACAAACTTGTGAAAAATTAAATTTATATCCCAGTGGACACAGGACCTAAAAAAGATGTCTTTTGAACGTTCAAAAGTCATCTGAAACGCTCAAAAAAAGACTTTTAAAAGACGTTCAAAAGACACTTGCTTTACGTCTTATGTCTTCTAGGATATGGTGAAAAAAAAGGCATATCAAACTGATGGATAGCAGACTATCTTAGGAAACATATACAATCTATGCATTATGGCAATGTTCATTACACTGAATGGCTTGGCTCTAGTGTCAGTGACTCTGCAGGCATTAAGGCCCACAACTTTTGTCTTTCTCAATCCCTAACTCAAATAGTCAACTTTCCAACGCGCTTTCCAGACAACCCGAATCATTTACCTTCTCTACTCGACTTATGTCTTGTTTCTAATCCTAGTCAGTGCTCAGTTTCTTCACACTCACCTTTAGGTGCTTCTGATCATGGTTTGGTCTCTCTAAAACTATTATCTCATTCTTCTTTACCATCAGAATCCCCCTATCATCGTACATCTTACAACTACCCTAAAGCTGACTGGGACTCTTTCCGTGATTTTCTTCGTGATGCCCCCTGGGTAGAAATCTTTCGTCTCCCTGTTGACAAATGTGCTTCTTACATAACTTCGTGAATTCAGACTGGCATAGAATCCTTTATTCCCTCTCGACAATTCCAGGTCAAGCTTCACTCTTCTCCATGGTTTTCCTCACATTGTGCTGCTGCAATTGCCAATCGAAACCATTACTTCCATATCTATCAGCAAATAAATTCTCCAGAAAACAGACATCTGTTTATTACTGCTAGGAACCATTGTAAAAAGGTTTTGTGTAATGCCAAAGCCCGCTACTCTCAGATCATGAAGTCTCGTATTTCATCACAAAAATTAGGCTCTCGTGACTTCTGAAGAATCTTTAATAGTATCAAAGTCTGTAATTCCACCTCTTTTGTATGGTTCAGACTTTGTCACCTCACCTAAAGACAAAGCTGAATTGTTTGCCAAGAACTTTTCATAATTATCATCTCTTGATGCCGCTAGTTGCGTTCTACCTGATATAGCCGTCAAACAGGTTGATCCATTGCTCGACATTCGTATCACTCCAGCTTTCGTACCTAAAGTGATTTCCTGCTTAGACTCTTCTACAGCTTGCGGCCTGGACAACATACCTGTTATAGTCTTGCAGAAGTGTTCTCCGGAAACTATCTTTTCAAAATCTATCTTTTCAAAGTCTATCCTTTCAAAATTATTTAACAAGTGCTTATCAGAGTCTTGTTTTCCAGCCTGCTGCAAAGCAGCATCTGTTATCCCTATTTTTAAAAATTTCTGGAGAGCGATACGATTCGTCTAAATACCGTCCCATTAGTCTCCTTCCTATCATAAGCAAAGGTTTTTGAATCTTTAATTAACAAACACTTAATCTCGAATCTCGAATCTCATGACCTACTTTCTAATCATCAATATGGATTTCGATCTTCTCGTTCTACGGCTGATTTGCTATCAGTAATAACCAATAGGAAGGAGACTAATGGAACGGTATTTATAAAAGTGTGCATGTTTATAAAAGTGAGCGTTACTAACGCAACGCTCACTTTTATAAACATGCACAAAGTCAACACTACCAATACCAACAAAACTGTCGCCTTTATTTCTTAAAAAAATTTTGCTTAATGCAAGTAAAGATTTAGAACGGACACAAACTTTTGGTTCATTTTAAATAATCTTAGACTCGCCATAATACATATTGACTCTAATAAAAAAGTTTAATAGCAAAATATTTTTCACTTTACCATCATAATAATAAAATTAAATTTAACAAAAAATTTGAATCTCTGTTTGTCAAAGTTTTTTAATTTTTTTAAATTAATTTGTTTATGAGTGAGTCTGGGTGTGCTTATTTTATAGCATCAACCTTTTAATCGTAAAACCAAAAAATTAGTTAAACAAAATTAACAACAATCGTATTTCTTGAGATGCAACTGTACTCTATATATAACATTTACTAGTTCAAAAATGATATGTTTCAAAACGTCATGTTAGATCACGTAACATATATATATATATATTACATAATGTTACATTATTTTAACTTAAAAATCTCTAACAATCTAAAAAAACACTAGCGAAAGTAAACAGTAGTGAAAAAGAACAGTTTTTTTTATATGAAGTTATTGCCAACTTCTATCAAGCACTAGATGTAGTTACTTATCATTGCTGCATCTAGCACTAGATGTAGTTACTTATCATTGCTGCTTCCCATTTGCCCTGGAAGATTTTCTCTATTGCAAGAGTATCCTGATTTAAAAACTCTCATTTATCTTCATTCATATCACTTAAATTTGGTACTAAAAGTTCCCAGATAATGCAGCTTTATTGAAATTCTGCATTTCATATCTCCGTACCGTGCAAATTACCGAACAAATGTTTCTTTCTGTTGTAGTTATCACTCTTATTGTTACCTAACAAAAAAATTAACAAAATATCTTAAACATTCCATGATGGTATGTTGGTTCAAAACCATTTTCCAAAACAAAAAAATTAATTCAACTTTATTATTCACTTATTCAATGCCATGTAAAATATCGTAGTATAAAGTAGTGTTAAAAAAAGTCAATTAGGTCCACTTCATCGAAAACGGAAGCATCTAGTACGTCTAATAAACTTTAAAGATTGTTATTTGACTCATGCCCAATCCTCTTTTATGCAAAATGAATCTTCTTAATTTATATCAATTAAATGTTTTTAATATTTTTTGTTTTATGTTCAAATGTAAAATAAATTTAAACCATATATTTTTTCAAAATTTATATGCAACAAAGCCTAAAAACAAATATGACATAAGAAGTTACAATCTTATTCATCAAGATTATTAGTATACAAATTTTAAAAGACCTCTTCTATCATATCATGAAGCCTTTGGAACCAATGATCATATCGCAGAGCTATTTTTTTAGAACCAACAAAATTATAGTTTTAAAAATCTATAGTATATATATAGCTTTAAAAATCTTTATTTTTCGCAAAGTTGGAATTTTCCTACTTTCAAAAATAAATTCAGAAATATTATTTTCTCATTTGGTAACATATTCGAATTCTTTTGATCTCGATCTTCTTTTACAAGTGTTTCCTAACTTTTTTCTTTTTATAAATGTTTTTTCCTAAAATTTAAAAGCGTTGGTAAAATTTTTATTGTATTGTTAAGCAGTATTTTTTATTTAATAGATCTAAAGGCATTCATCAAGATAATAATTAGGAATATTAAGGATATTTTTATTTGAAAATATATACATCATGCCCGTAGAAACACTGAAATATATTTTGTAAACTTTTTTCATATCAGTAATGTATTTTATTTATTTCAAGTAAAGAATGGAAGTCTAAAACTAAACATATAAGTTAATCTTTAACACTGGCTTAAAATCCAATCTATATGTTAAAGTCAAGAATTCGTTTTCCCTCGCTCGCTCTTTCTTTATATATATCAAATAACTTAGTGTATATCACAAAAAGAGTGTTAATGTCCTTAAGGAATAGAGTAGTAATAAATTAATAAAGTTAGTTATTACTGATAATCCTGCTAAAGAAGAAACTGTTAGTAGAAGCTCAATTTAGATGTTTAGTGATTTTTTACTAATTTTTTATATGTGTGTGAGTGTGTGTATATATATATATATTTATATATATGTATATATATATATATATATATATATATATATATATATATATATATATATATATATATATATATATATATATATATATATTTACATATATATAATGTTTTAAATGCATTACACGCGTTTAAAAGTTCCGGAATTTACTTATGCCTTTTCTCAGGAAATCTTGATAATATAACAAAACCAATGGTACCACTGAAATCAGCATACCTAAATTATGTAAGAAATGTTAAAAATTTAACATAAACAAAAATGTTGTTACATTAAGTAATTTAATATAATTTACGTATAATATATTTTGCGCGGATAGTATATATTTTTTAATATTAAGTATGAGTTTTCCTTAACTACAAAATAACTGTGTATATTTGAGCAGGAAATTATTTATCCTGAAATATTGCCCGTCAATTTTTATATATAAAGTGCTTTTTATTGTATTTCAAATCACACTTACCGAAGTACTTGAAGGTAATGGAAGAAAACACTGCTTTTTTATGATTTTTATGTTTTATTCAAACTACATTAAAGTAATTAAAAAGTTTAATTAAGTTTATTTATGTTTAATTTTAGCTTCATGATGTATTCAACGCAACTATTGTTTTACCTGTTATCCTATATATCCATTGCAAAAGGGTATATACGCATTGATAAAAATTTTTTTGACGATGAAAATAGTTATTGGTCACAATCAGGCAATAGTTTAAACAAATGGAGCGAAGGTAAGAAACTTTAAAAAATATCATTTTAAATAACAATAATAAAACAGTAAAAAAAAACTACCAAATACGCAATATAAGTTTTCGATTTCCAAACGCTTAAAATTTCAAACAGTGTCTTTCCAACGGGCAAAATATTTTGAAACCCTATACAGGCCCAATCCGATTCGCTGATTTTGAAGGAGAAGCACGTGGTAAGTGCTATGTGTTAAGCATATAATAAAAATCAAAACAATCAGATTTTTAAGATAAATATAAATGTTATTGTAGTAATGATAAACTAAGTTTTTTAATAGAAGTCTTGTGTTATTATCAATACAGGTAATTATTTTATTTTAGTACTGTTCAGAGTATTTATAAGGTGTTGAAATCTATTTTTACAAGAGAATTTTTACTCGTAAAAATTACAAAACTTCAATTAAGTTTATCTTGGTGATAGGGATGTTTTTAATTTAACGAAATGTAAGAAACAAATGTATGTGTTAAAGTAAATTCAAAAAAATTTATAAAAGTGTTTCTCTTTAAGCGTAGTTTCCTTGGTCTTGTACCATAATAATTCAAAGTTTGTTTGTAGTTTTACAAAACTATTGGCGAAGAACTTTATTTATACTTATTGATTATAAATAGTTTAACTTTAAAGTTTTTTCAAAAAGAAAATTTGTACTGATGTTTACAAAACTTGCTTACATGTTAATATATGAACTCTAAGAAGAATTTTGTATTTTGTTTTAACCTTAATTTTAAGAAGACTGATATATTTTTATTGTATAACTCTAATCAAACATCATTCTTAAACCTTTAAACACTCGTCAAGATTTAGAAAAAATTTGGCAAGCTACATTAACTTTTATATATATATATATATATATATATATATATATATATATATATATATATATATATATATATATATATATATATATATATATATATATATATATATATATATAAAAAAGTTAATGTAGCTTGCCAAATTTTTTCTAAATCTTGACGAGTGTTTAAAGGTTTAAGAATGATGTTTGATTAGAGTTATACAATAAAAATATAAAAATATATATATATATATATATATATATATATATATATATATATATATATATATATATATATATATATATATATATATATATAAACAATTGGATATTAATACTGCTTGAAAAATTAACAGAAGAAGTGAAATTTATATTTGTCTACTAAACAGTAACTTTTTGTACAGTTAACTGTACTAAAGGTAAGTTGCTTTATTTATATCATTGTTTTTGCTTGTTTTTTATGGCCAATGCTTTTACTCAACTAGTTAATTATAAGCATTGACTATAAAAGCAAGAAAAAAGTATTGAAATCAAAAAAATAAAAATAAAAGTGGGCTATGGACCATTATCATTATAAAAGTTGGTTTATATGCCACAATCATTTGTTTTTTTGATGCCATAGTTTATAGCATCAAAAAAAGCCAAATGATTGTGTCACTTTTTTGTATTGCAATAATGGAAAAAAAGGTGATTAAAAAAACCAAATTAAATGGTAAAAATATAAATTTTTAGGAATTGAAGAAAAAACAATAAAACTATTAACAAACATTACAGTCAGTTGTCATGATAACTGATTGTTATGACAGTCATGCTATTTGTTTTTGTCTAGCCTATATTTGGCTTTAGCTGGGTTGTAACCTTAATGGATTAGTTGATAGTAAAAAATTATATTTTTGTATCAAAATTATCAGAGAGGTATCTGCAAAAATTTAAAAAAAGACACGTTTAACTTAATTGATTAAACCAAAAATCATAGCGAATTAAACTTTTTAAATATTTTTGAAATGGTTTTACTACAATATTTCATGGGAGTATACCCTCATATATAGATACCCTCATTATGAGGGAGTATAGATACCCTCATTATGAGGGAGTATAGATACCCTCATTATGAGGGAGTATAGATACCCTCATTATGAAGTATAAAATTTAGATAAAGATTTTGTTTTATATTATACTTGATAACAAGGGTATCTATACTCCCTCATATAATGAGGGTATCTATAGTCCCTCATAATGAGGGTATCTATACTTCCTTGAAATACTGTGGTAAAACTAATTTAAAAATAAAAAGCTACATCCATAGTAGAAGTTTTTATTTAATTATAAAAATTAAACTCTTTAAAAATTTATACAGACTATTGATTTTTAAAAATAACATAATGTCTTTCTCTGAAAGACATTTTCTATAACTATTTTCCGTAACAGTCATAAAATTTAAAACATTTAAAAAATAAAACAATTTAGAATTATATAAGTGTTCATTCAAGCTTATAAGTGTTAAAAGAGCATTTTTTTTTTCTTCTTAAGAATGATACAAAGTTCACATTAAATTTTAAGTTTAAGTTTTGGTCATTGATATTTAAACTTTGTTATAAATCATTAGTGCTACCTTAACAATAGCTTAAACATTGAAATTTAATTTATGAGTAATTAAAAAATAGCATAATTGAATATTTTTCATATTATTAAAAATAGTTTTTATTATAATCATCACGTTTCTTAGAAAATGAAAAAAGGACATATGAAGTTGTTAATCAGCCGATGTGTGGTAATCTACCATTTGATGACAGTATTTATTTTTGCAATAATGGAAACAAATACAATAAACAACTTTATCAGTTGTGTGGAAGTGGTGTAGTATTAAAAAGCTCCTACCTTTGCAGTAAAGGTAAATCATACCCAAAATCTGAATACAGCCTTTGTGGAAATGAAATTTTTGAAATTAAAAAATGCTTTTGTTATAAATCTAAAATATTTGAAAAAATAACTAATGAATTATGTGGTAATGAACTTATCTTTAAATTAACAAATTTTTGCTTCAAAGGAAAGTCATTTCTTCAATCAAAATACATTATTTGCAGTGAGAATGTGTACGATAAAAGTATTTACTTCTGCTTTAATAACAAAGTTTACAGCACAATTGATAATGAAATATGTGGTGACCATGTTCATTTGACAGCTGAATGGTTTTGTAACAACAATAAATCATACAAAAAGAGCAACTACAAATTATGTGGATCTAATGTTTATGAAATAGCTACGCAATTCTGCAAAAACAATTTAGTATATTTAATCACCTTGTACGAAGAGTGTGGTGATGGAGTAAGTGAAAAAGCAACACAGTTTTGTTTCGAAAATCAAGTATTTAGCATCTTATCACATGCAGTCTGTAAGAATAAGATTTACAAACTTATCGATTCCTTCTGCTTTAATGACATGGTATTTACCAAAATTGATAATGAAATATGTGGAGACCATGTTCATTTGACAGCTGACTGGTTTTGTAACAATGATAAATCATACAAAAAGAGCAACTACAAAGTATGTGGATCTAATGTTTATGAAATAACTACGCAATTCTGCAAAAACAATTTAGTGTATTTAATCACCTTGTACGAAGAGTGTGGTGATGGAGTAAGTGAAAAAGCAACACAGTTTTGTTTTGAAAATCAAGTATTTAGCATCTTGTCACATGCAGTCTGTAAGAATAAGATTTATAAACTTATTGATTCCTTCTGCTTTAATGACATGGTATTTACCAAAATTGATAATGAAATATGTGGAGACCATGTTCATTTGACAGCTGACTGGTTTTGTAACAATGATAAATCATACAAAAAGAGCAACTACAAATTATGTGGATCTAATGTTTATGAAATAGCTACGCAATTCTGCAAAAACAATTTAGTGTATTTAATCACCTTGTACGAAGAGTGTGGTGATGGAGTAAGTGAAAAAGCAACACAGTTTTGTTTTGAAAATCAAGTATTTAGCATCTTGTCACATGCAGTCTGTAAGAATAAGATTTATAAACTTATTGATTCCTTCTGCTTTAATGACATGGTATTTACCAAAATTGATAATGAAATATGTGGAGACCATGTTCATTTGACAGCTGACTGGTTTTGTAACAATGATAAATCATACAAAAAGAGCAACTACAAATTATGTGGATCTAATGTTTATGAAATAGCTACACAATTCTGCAAAAATAATTTAGTGTATTTAATCAACTTGTACGAAGAGTGTGGTGATGGAGTAAGTGAAAAAGCAACACAGTTTTGTTTTGAAAATCAAGTATTTAACATCTTGTCACATGCAGTCTGTAAAAATAAGGTTTACAAACTCATTGATTTCTTCTGCTTTAATGACATGGTATTTACCAAAATTGATAATGAAATATGTGGAGACCATGTTCATTTGACAGCTGACTGGTTTTGTAACAACAATAAATCATACAAAAAGAGCAACTACAAATTATGTGGATCTAATGTTTATGAAATAGCTACGCAATTCTGCAAAAACAATTTAGTATATTTAATCACCTTGTACGAAGAGTGTGGTGATGGAGTAAGTGAAAAAGCAACACAGTTTTGTTTCGAAAATCAAGTATTTAGCATCTTATCACATGCAGTCTGTAAGAATAAGATTTACAAACTTATCGATTCCTTCTGCTTTAATGACATGGTATTTACCAAAATTGATAATGAAATATGTGGAGACCATGTTCATTTGACAGCTGACTGGTTTTGTAACAATGATAAATCATACAAAAAGAGCAACTACAAAGTATGTGGATCTAATGTTTATGAAATAACTACGCAATTCTGCAAAAACAATTTAGTGTATTTAATCACCTTGTACGAAGAGTGTGGTGATGGAGTAAGTGAAAAAGCAACACAGTTTTGTTTTGAAAATCAAGTATTTAGCATCTTGTCACATGCAGTCTGTAAGAATAAGATTTATAAACTTATTGATTCCTTCTGCTTTAATGACATGGTATTTACCAAAATTGATAATGAAATATGTGGAGACCATGTTCATTTGACAGCTGACTGGTTTTGTAACAATGATAAATCATACAAAAAGAGCAACTACAAATTATGTGGATCTAATGTTTATGAAATAGCTACGCAATTCTGCAAAAACAATTTAGTGTATTTAATCACCTTGTACGAAGAGTGTGGTGATGGAGTAAGTGAAAAAGCAACACAGTTTTGTTTTGAAAATCAAGTATTTAGCATCTTGTCACATGCAGTCTGTAAGTATAAGATTTATAAACTTATTGATTCCTTCTGCTTTAATGACATGGTATTTACCAAAATTGATAATGAAATATGTGGAGACCATGTTCATTTGACAGCTGACTGGTTTTGTAACAATGATAAATCATACAAAAAGAGCAACTACAAATTATGTGGATCTAATGTTTATGAAATAGCTACACAATTCTGCAAAAATAATTTAGTGTATTTAATCAACTTGTACGAAGAGTGTGGTGATGGAGTAAGTGAAAAAGCAACACAGTTTTGTTTTGAAAATCAAGTATTTAACATCTTGTCACATGCAGTCTGTAAAAATAAGGTTTACAAACTCATTGATTTCTTCTGCTTTAATGACATGGTATTTACCAAAATTGATAATGAAATATGTGGAGACCATGTTCATTTGACAGCTGACTGGTTTTGTAACAATGATAAATCATACAAAAAGAGCAACTACAAATTATGTGGATCTAATGTTTATGAAATAGCTACGCAATTCTGCAAAAACAATTTAGTGTATTTAATCACCTTGTACGAAGAGTGTGGTGATGGAGTAAGTGAAAAAGCAACACAGTTTTGTTTTGAAAATCAAGTATTTAGCATCTTGTCACATGCAGTCTGTAAGAATAAGATTTACAAACTTATCGATTCCTTCTGCTTTAATGACATGGTATTTACCAAAATTGATAATGAAATATGTGGAGACCATGTTCATTTGACAGCTGACTGGTTTTGTAACAATGATAAATCATACAAAAAGAGCAACTACAAATTATGTGGATCTAATGTTTATGAAATAGCTACACAATTCTGCAAAAATAATTTAGTGTATTTAATCAACTTGTACGAAGAGTGTGGTGATGGAGTAAGTGAAAAAGCAACACAGTTTTGTTTTGAAAATCAAGTATTTAACATCTTGTCACATGCAGTCTGTAAAAATAAGGTTTACAAACTCATTGATTTCTTCTGCTTTAATGACATGGTATTTACCAAAATTGATAATGAAATATGTGGAGACCATGTTCATTTGACAGCTGACTGGTTTTGTAACAATGATAAATCATACAAAAAGAGCAACTACAAATTATGTGGATCTAATGTTTATGGAATAGCTACACAATTCTGCAAAAATAATTTAGTGTATTTAATCAACTTGTACGAAGAGTGTGGTGATGGAGTAAGTGAAAAAGCAACACAGTTTTGTTTTGAAAATCAAGTATTTAACATCTTGTCACATGCAGTCTGTAAAAATAAGGTTTACAAACTCATTGATTCCTTCTGCTTTAATGACATGGTATTTACCAAAATTGATAATGAAATATGTGGAGACCATGTTCATTTGACAGCTGACTGGTTTTGTAACAATGATAAATCATACAAAAAGAGCAACTACAAATTATGTGGATCTAATGTTTATGAAATAGCTACGCAATTCTGCAAAAATAATTTAGTGTATTTAATCAACTTGTACGAAGAGTGTGGTGATGGAGTAAGTGAAAAAGCAACACAGTTTTGTTTTGAAAATCAAGTATTTAGCATCTTGTCACATGCAGTCTGTAAGAATAAGATTTACAAACTTATCGATTCTTTCTGCTTTAATGACATGGTATTTACCAAAATTGATAATGAAATATGTGGAGACCATGTTCATTTGACAGCTGACTGGTTTTGTAACAATGATAAATCATACAAAAAGAGCAACTACAAATTATGTGGATCTAATGTTTATGAAATAGCTACGCAATTCTGCAAAAACAATTTAGTGTATTTAATCACCTTGTACGAAGAGTGTGGTGATGGAGTAAGTGAAAAAGCAACACAGTTTTGTTTTGAAAATCAAGTATTTAACATCTTGTCACATGCAGTCTGTAAAAATAAGGTTTACAAACTCATTGATTTCTTCTGCTTTAATGACATGGTATTTACCAAAATTGATAATGAAATATGTGGAGACCATGTTCATTTGACAGCTGACTGGTTTTGTAACAATGATAAATCATACAAAAAGAGCAACTACAAATTATGTGGATCTAATGTTTATGGAATAGCTACACAATTCTGCAAAAATAATTTAGTGTATTTAATCAACTTGTACGAAGAGTGTGGTGATGGAGTAAGTGAAAAAGCAACACAGTTTTGTTTTGAAAATCAAGTATTTAACATCTTGTCACATGCAGTCTGTAAAAATAAGGTTTACAAACTCATTGATTCCTTCTGCTTTAATGACATGGTATTTACCAAAATTGATAATGAAATATGTGGAGACCATGTTCATTTGACAGCTGACTGGTTTTGTAACAATGATAAATCATACAAAAAGAGCAACTACAAATTATGTGGATCTAATGTTTATGAAATAGCTACGCAATTCTGCAAAAATAATTTAGTGTATTTAATCAACTTGTACGAAGAGTGTGGTGATGGAGTAAGTGAAAAAGCAACACAGTTTTGTTTTGAAAATCAAGTATTTAGCATCTTGTCACATGCAGTCTGTAAGAATAAGATTTACAAACTTATCGATTCTTTCTGCTTTAATGACATGGTATTTACCAAAATTGATAATGAAATATGTGGAGACCATGTTCATTTGACAGCTGACTGGTTTTGTAACAATGATAAATCATACAAAAAGAGCAACTACAAATTATGTGGATCTAATGTTTATGAAATAGCTACGCAATTCTGCAAAAACAATTTAGTGTATTTAATCACCTTGTACGAAGAGTGTGGTGATGGAGTAAGTGAAAAAGCAACACAGTTTTGTTTTGAAAATCAAGTATTTAGCATCTTGTCACATGCAGTCTGTAAGAATAAGATTTACAAACTTATCGATTCCTTCTGCTTTAATGACATGGTATTTACCAAAATTGATAATGAAATATGTGGAGACCATGTTCATTTGACAGCTGACTGGTTTTGTAACAATGATAAATCATACAAAAAGAGCAACTACAAATTATGTGGATCTAATGTTTATGAAATAGCTACACAATTCTGCAAAAATAATTTAGTGTATTTAATCAACTTGTACGAAGAGTGTGGTGATGGAGTAAGTGAAAAAGCAACACAGTTTTGTTTTGAAAATCAAGTATTCAAAATATTGGAGTTTGGTCTCTGTAAAGGTAGCCTTTTCAAACGTATTGATTCATTATGTTTTAATAACGTTATCTACTCTGCAAATGATAATGAAGTATGTGGAGATATTGTGCATTCAAAAACGTTATGCTTCTGTTTTAACAATAAGTCATACAAGAGAAATCAGTTTGGTATTTGCGGTAATGACGTTTTTAATTTAAGTAACTCAATATGTAATGGGGGAATAATTTTTAGTTTAAGCGTTTATGAAATTTGTGGTCAAGTCATTCATTTAAAAGCTGATCGATTTTGTTTCAATGAAGTTTCTTTTAGAAAAAGTGATTTTAGTATTTGCGCAGGCAACCTTTTTTCACTCAGTTCTTCATTTTGTTATGACAACAAAGTTTATGAAAAATTTTCCCACGAATTATGCGGAAATGCAATCATGTCAAGAATTACAAATTTTTGTAATGACGGAATATCATATTCTCGTACTCAATATAGAATTTGTGGCCAGACAGTTTACGACATCAACCTCTTTGTTTGCAGTGGAACAACTTTGTTTGACCTCAAGCTCTATGAAGTATGTGGAAATGTTATCTATTTGAAATCACAACGCTTTTGTTATAATGGAACATCATATAACAAGCTTCAATATGGTCTTTGTGGTTCTGATTTATACAATAAATTAGCGTTTACATGTAATGCGAAGAATCAATTGGAAGCTATTGTTTTGCCATACTAATTATTTTATATTATAGTTGATATATTTGGATAAAATTTGTATTATGATTGTTTATGTTGTTGTACTTGATTTGGAGATTTTAATGCAAACTTCATTTTAAGTACATCACTATTATATTTAGTTTTTGGTAAAATGAGACAGATTTTTAAGTCATTTTAAAGTCTATGTAAAACCTTTAAAAAATATTTAATCAGGAAACACTATCACTTAAAACTTCGTTTTTTTTTTAAATAGCATTAAATTTTCTCTTTAATGATTTACGGTGGTATACTGGGATTATTTTTAGTTTATTAAATTATATTATTAATTTTGTAATTTGTAATATCATAAATAGCCTTGTTAATGCCATGAGAAGTTCCCACTTTTACAATTTAAGGAGAGAAATTTTCTATTCTGAAAGATCTCATTAAAAAACACTCAAAAATAATGACATCATTTAAATAGAGTTAGTTTTCACCTCAAGGCTTTAATTGCAGCTTTTTTTTACTTTGTTAACAACTAATTTATAAGAGTTATAAGCTTTAGTAATGCAGCTTTAGTAATGTCCTCATGTCTACACAACTTTCCAGGTAACATGTTTATATGGGCCTCATGTGCTTTTTAACCTGGGGTTATGTGCATAGGTTACAAGACACGGGCCTGGATGGTTCCCATTTGGACCAACCCATTTAACTAATTTGACTGAATATTCTGTTTTTATGACAGAATATTCCGTCAAGTGTGTTTATTAAAAAAAAAATGCTCGTTTTCTTCACTTTATTCATTTAGCATACATTATAATTATCAAATGAGTTATACACTTGTTCAAAAGTTGATTTGGTTTATTAATTTGTTAAAGAGTTAGTAAAAGTTATTAAAAATGGTATCAAACATGTAATATTATTAATTCAACATAGTTATGTTTAATGATATTATTAAACATGTTATTTTGTAAATGCATCTTAGCTCACAAAGCAGTAGATGCCTTGCAATATTGTTTCGTGCAGTATAAGTTGTTGCTGTTATTAACTTGTTGCAATAATTATTTTTATACATATTTTATTATTATATATCATGGTATATGATAATATAATGTATTATCATACACCATAATACATAATATGTATGTATAATAATCTAAAATAATATATTATATGCAGTGACGGATCCAGGATTTTTTGATGTTTGAGATAACTTCCAGACATGGAGCAAACTCCAAACATTTTTATGTTTATACTTATGTCAAATAATGTTTACAAAAAATTGCGATGATTGGGGACTGGGAACTAAAAAGCCCTTGAATTACATCCCCAAGGGATGAAGTTAAAGGGGTTTTTAGGAGGGTGCAAATTATATATGGTCGTAATTTTTAAACACTAACAAATAATACTATGAAACTTAAAATAAATCGATAAATATAAGATTAGTTAAAAATAGTACAAAAAGTATTTTATCAACTTGTTGCCCCTCTCATTTGGGGGAGGTAGTTAAGGCTGAAGGGCTTTTTTGTTCCCAGCCTCCTATTATCGCAATTTTTTGCAAAGCCTCGTTATTTGACATTTACATGTCCACGGCATAGGTAAAGCAATCGGCAATGGTTCAAGCACGAGATTGCCAAATCAACTTGAATCAATTTTGGTAGATACGCTCATCAAATTATTTGATTGGAGCTTTGATAGAACTTACAATAATATCATCACATTAGTTACCGACTATTTGCAACACCAAGTTCAATCTCATTTGTTTCCTAATGGTACACCAGGAAAGAATTGGTAAAACCTTTTCATAAACCGATGCATTTTTGCATTTTTTAATCAAAATATCGTCTCCATACGTATTTTTAAATCAAAAAAAATGTACCATAATTGGTGTTTTATTATATTTAGTGGTCCAGATAATGCCATATATGCTATATCTCCGTCATTAACAAAATTCCAGGAATTTTCCTAATGACGGAAACATACATGTTAGTGAGCTACTAGAGACTACATACATGTAGCCGCTAGAAACTACAAACATACATTTTAGTGAGCCACTAAAACTAGATAAATATAATTAAATAACTAAAATTAAATTGAACTAATTATAATTAGTTCAATTTAATTTTAGTTATCTAATTATATTTATCTAGCTTTACATTGAAAAAAGATTACATCAATCTAATTACAGTTATCTAATTTTAGGTATTCATATTTTAGTTGTAGATGTTCAGACATATGTCACTTACCGGGTCGTACTTATTTGCATAGAAAACAATATCTTGATAATTTGCTTACCATCTCACTCTTCACTTATTCAGCAGCCACTAGATGTTGGTGTTTATTGACATTTCAAAAGAGTTTAGCGCAAATTACTTCAACAGTTTTATGCAGAGACAAAATTCAGCAACTTATCAAAGAATGTTTTAGAAAAAACTTTTAAAAACATTTCAGCTCTGGTGAAGTTTTCACACGTACGCAAATAGTCACTGGGTTTCAGAATACTGGCTTGTTTCCACTCGACATCAATAAAATTGATCAGTCAAAGTTGCAAATTGCTAATACGTTTGAAACACCGTCATTTTATTATCATCTCAATTAATAGAATTTATGATAGTACCATCACCAATACTAGCACCAGGAACTACACTACCTCAGCTACTAATCACTAAATCTATACAAACATCTAGCATCAGCATATGTCACATAGCATCAGCTCCAAAGTCACCTCAAAAGTCTGCAAACAACCTTCAACCCTTTGGAAAATTGGCTAGCGAATAGCTAGTTTTAATCGTAACAATAAAGAAAGCAATGAGGCCACGAGTATCGCTAGCTTTTTTGAGTTAGCGAAAAGCTATCGATATTTGTAAAGATAAAGACATTGGCTATTGTAGCGATTTTATCGTAATAAAATCTCTGTCTAAAAAATTTTGATATGTAGCTATCAACCTGTAGATATTTTGTAGTTAGCTACAAAGCTACGAAATGTAGCTAGCGACACATTGCTACAAAATCGGAATGTTTAGTTTAATTATTTTCATAACTATAATAGAATCAACAATGAAAATCAAATTTTTAAAGATGCTAGAGACATTAGGAAAAATAAAAAAATAAGAAAAAAAAAAATCGCTTGAAAATTACTAATAGGCTAGCTATTAGTAATTACATCTGAAAAAATTCCTATATGTAACTTTATAATAACATGCATTAAAATAATGCATTATTAGTTAATTCATCTTTAAAATATCTTTATCTTAAAAATCTACAGATGTAGTTGCACAGATGCTATTACACTTTGATAATTTAAAAGATGTAACTACATCTGAAATATTCATTAACTTTTTGCACAAATTTTATTAGACACCAATGAAGTTTCAGATGTTGTTGGACAGATGTTATTATACTTCGTTGTATTTACAGATGTTATTGGACAGATGTTATTAGATATAGCAAAAACTGGTTTTGTTACTCTGACCCTAATAATTTATTTAAAATAAACTTTAGTTTAAATAATCATTGTTTTAAAAATTTTTATACGATTTCGCTTCATATAACAACCAAGATATTTATATATATATATATATATATATATATATATATATATATATATATATATATATATATATATATATATATGTATATATATATATATACATATATATATATATATATATATATATATATATATATATATATATATATATATATATATATATATATATATATATATATATATATATATATATATATATATATATATATATATATGTATGTATATATATATATATATATATATATATATATATATATATATATATATATATATATATATATATATATATATATATATATATATATATATATATATAATACACGTCTCCTTCCTCACCAATGTCCCTTATCTGCCTACTGATCTCAAAAAATAACTGGACAATTTTTAGGTATATATATATATATATATATATATATATATATATATATATATATATATATATATATATATATATATATATATATATATATTAGGATAAATAAAATTTATATTAAGCGATATAAATTTTTGTTTTGAATATGTATAAATATATTTTATTATAAGATAAATAATATCCTTCAAAAAAATTTAATAACCAATTTATGTACCTTTTAGTTCTTAATTATCTTATGCTGTGTGCTAGAAGGTTAATAACACAACTGCATGATAGGCAGCTTAGTATCTGTTTAATATAAATCAGTCTTAAAAAAATTTGTTTTAAACAGATACTTGTAATGTACATCTGCTGCATGAACTATTAGCTGAGCTCTGTGAGTACACACAACTCAGAGGTTCCTTCTAGAGTTTGTTATCATTAGTTTTTTTAATTTAATTTTAGATTTTTCTTTTAATACAAATAAATATACTAACTATAAATACACACACATAAATTTACTCACTTAGTACATTTATGTTTTTCTGAAATAACTTTAATCATTGAAAATAAATACGTATCAGTTAAAGCCGAATCAAGCATATGATGAGTTAATTCTGTGAATACTTTTGATAAATCAACTGATCTCAAAACAACACTTGTAATTGCATTTTTAATTCCTATATCATTAGGCAGGTTACTATTTGTTGATGCAAGAAACCTTTGGAAACATCTTTTTGTTCCTTCCCATACCAAAACAACTTGGTTTAACCAATGCTTTTCTAGAGACTTTATTCTTAATAAAATGTAATAAATTTCACCCACCTGTGAAATGAAAACTTTTCTTTTGAATTGTGATCACTGTTTTTTGATCCAGTACTATTTTTGCATCCAAAGATGCTGCATAGTAATAATATAATATAAACATTTGAAGAAATAATAGTACTGTAATACACACCTCAAAATGTTATTATTTTGATATTAGTGGTTGTAATATAACAATGTTAAAGTAATTTTTTATTGTAATGTTGACTAAATAATCTAATAAAAATACATTATTTAAAAATATACTTTTACATAGTATGAATACATGTATACATAGTGTTTACTGGTTTTTTACATAGTATGAATACATACATATGTTACATCTTTACATACTATGTATGTGTTAAACTGTCAATAATTATCCTTGAAACTTTGAGGAATAATTATTCACAGTTGAGTTTGACAGTGACCTTAAATCTAAGTCATTGAGAGATTATTTTTTACTTTGGAATATAACTATTGTTTTATATTTTCACTAATTAATGAGTCCAGAAAGTTAATGTATTAAATAATAAAATGACTTTTATAATTCTAGAAGGAACCTGAGTTATGTGTACTCACAGTTTTCAGCTAATAGTTTATACAGCATTTGTACAATATTGTTTCTACCTACAAAACTCATGATTGTAAAATCCTCTAAAGATTGTAGGTAGACAACGTTGCTGCTTACCATACAGTCGTGTTATTAACCTTCTACCTTCTAGCACACAGCATTGGGTAATTAAGAACTAAAAGGTACATAAATTATAAACCTCATTTAAAAAGTGTATACTAGTTGAATATTTTAATAATTAGGAATCAAAAAAATTTATTCCGCAATCTTATTTTCCTTAAAAATAGTTTACTTTTCTTATTCGGTCAGAATTTGTGTACGATTCAAACCGCTAACAGTTCTAACCGACGCCATCTTGGTAGGCCAAAATTGGTTTCAACTTTTTTTACGAATAACAATAGAATATGCTATCCAGTTATTATTTTGAGATCAGTGTTATCTGCCAAGAACCGGCATCAAATCGCGGACCTCTAAGTACTGAACCAAAAATTACCGTGTCACGGCTGTTATATTCCAAAAGCATTTTATTCAAAAACAGCATACAAATACTCTGCGGTAACTTTTGAAAAACAAAACAAAAAAACAAACAAACATAAGTAATTTATGATTTCAATCTTTTATAATTTTTTAAATAGTGTTTAAATAACGTATATCAAACCCTTTTCCTTCTCAGTTATAAATACAAATAATTATTTTTGAAGAGTAAGAAAACAGCTTCATTTCAAAAGTTTTTAGGCCAAAAAATACATAAATCGCAATCCGCAATCGCTACACGCAAATCGCTAAAATACAGTGAAAGATGAAATGATTATTTAGAAAGATTCAATATATCAGTTATTGATAATGAAACGGAATGCACTTTATCAATCCATAGCCTATTCACATTGATACAATAAATGAGTATGTATATCAAAATTATGTCAATGCTAATATAATATAATACAATTTTTGTTGCGCTGCACGATTCTAATCTTTACTTTCGATAAAAACATTTTTCCGATTAAAACTTGCAACTTTTTTAATGTTTATTTTCTTTGAAACTTCTATTGCAAGTTGTTGCTTTGCAGGTGAGTAAACAGCGGTATCAAATGGATTTATATTTTTCGTTAAAGTTGTTGTCTCTTTATAAAGTTTCAGTGATTCTTTAATAGCGTTTATCAACACCTTTTTCTCCTCAGCTGTACTATAAATACAAAAAAAATTTAAAATGTATTAAGTGTCCACAAGTCATTTTAAAAAACAATGAAATTCAAACAAATATAAAAATGAATTGATCGGAACCACAACAAAAAAAAAAATAAAAAAAATAAAAAAATATCCGCCAAAATTTCAAACTGTACATAAACATACGTAAACTTTGATGATACTCAATGTACGCCGCATAACGATTATAATTAATGCAAAACATGTATATTATACAAGTTTTGTATTAATTATAACCTTTATGCGGCGCGAATAGAATGTTTCAATTTCATAGCAAATTTAATTTTTTTTCAAAATTTTAAACTTTTTGAAATATTAAAGATTGTAAGAACATAATGTAGCAATATTAAGTTTATCTGCTTTGTTGATAAATATTATCAATGGGTTCTTAAAAAAATGATTATTAAATAAAATGTTAAGTTTGAAAATTCAATGTGAAAAAATATAAACTAGATTCCTATGCCTGCAAAACATTTTTATTCCTAATAGCATTAACATGCGTTTATGCTATTTGGCATAAAAATCAATTTAAAAATATTTAGTTTTTCACTGGTATATAGTAAAAAGAACAATAACCTGTTTATAAATGCATATACAACTTCGTCATCTTGGCTTTTATCTATAATTTCCCAAACCTGACTTGATTCTATATAAAAAAAAAAAAATTAGACTAACAAATGACCTGAACTACATTGGAAACAACTGCCTCTGAGCGTGATTTAGGAAATATTAATGACATCAAAGTAAAAAGCTAATCCATTTTTGTCTCATGTAAAGCAAATCGAATGCTAGGTACCATAAAACACACCTTTCAATATCTTAATATTACATCCACTACTTGAGCTTGTAATTCCAGCTTATAGATCTTATTTGATGAATGATTATAGAATTATCAAGGTAATATAATTGAAAATAAAATTAGGCGTTGAGTCAAGACGATTACAATTCAACCTCATATATTTAGTCAAATTTGTAAATAAGGCGGCTTTATTCAAATGCTTAAAATTGATAGAAACAATAACATAATAAAATGATACTTTTACTTCTACCGAGAACTAATCACAGATATAGATTTCGCTGGAAAAAACTACGCAATAATTTACCTTTTTAAAATTTTTTTTTAACAATCGCATTGCTAATGCATGGCACAGCTTGCCACTATGTATGTATGTAACATGTATACTATGTATGTATGTAACATGTATACTATGAATGTATGTAACTACATGTATTCTATGTATGTACTATACTAGTTATGTATTTTTTATTAGAAATGTTTAACTTTTGAACATATTAAATAAATAAAAAATATATTCAAAAGTTGAAACAAACATTGAAATGGTTTTTTAATGCGTTAATTAAATAGACTTTGGATTTTAGTTTGATGAGTTTTGTTTTAGTTGCGTCATATATATACATTTATTTTTTTGTGTTTTTGCTTTAACTAAGTATTTTTTTTTTTTTTTTCTCTTTTGTTAAGATTTTTTTTTGTTTACAATTTTTTTTTAGATAAGTTTAGGTAAGTTTTTGCAACGCGTTTTTTAAATTTTGAAAATATGCCGTGGTCAAATCGTTAAAACATTATTTTTTGCGTGGTCATATAAAGACGTGAAATCGCACGCCTTCCTGTGAAAGCCTGAACTAATAATACCACGACAATATTTCAAATCTAAAAAATATTTTATTAAAAAATCAAAAACAAATCATAAAAAATACTGCTCGAAATAAAAAAACTTGAAATAAAAAAAACAAAAATCATTTCTTAGCAAAAAAAAGTGTATTTTTTGCAAGATTAACAAAAAAAAAAAAAAAAAAAAAAAAAAAAAAAAAAGTGATTTATGAGATGTTTTTAATGAAAAAGATGACACTATTTTTAAAATTTTGACATAGTCTTCAGATTTCATATATAGAGGTTTTCTAGGATAGAGAATTGTAAAAATAATAAGATTCTCATAATGTTGGATTACAAAATATTAAAACAAATTTTTTATATACCATTTTGAGACCATGCATGATCCCGAAGTATTAAACAGTTTAACGAAATAATAGTAGAAAACCTGACTTCTAAATCATTTTTCACAATATTTGATGAGGTGCTTAAAATCTAAAAAATAATTATAAAAAATCAAATAAATATAGAGGGACAAACACAATTGGAAACTTAAACTTATGATTCGATGAGCTCAGAGCTTCTAAAACTAAATAATACATGCTAATTTTTTCAATAATCCAATATTTTAAAATTAAGACACCACACCTGAAATCATCAAATTCACATCACATATAGTTCCCAGTTAAGAGAATACAGTCATCATATACTGTTTCACACAATTTTTTTAAAAATATGAGTAATACAGTGATTTATTTCTTCAAGTTATAAGTAACTGTATTTTATCTTAATAACTGAAACAAGGATAAGAATAGTTAGATAAAATCAACTAAATCAGTTCCATATGAAAAAATGTGACCTTAAAAGTTTCTCTAAATACTTAGAAAGTCTAAAATGGATTAAGCTTTTGTGTTTTTATTTTATTTACAATGTAAATAAAAAAATGAAAATTGAAAAACTAAAATATTTTTCTGAAAGCACATGTTGCGGTTTCAATCAAAATGTTTCAGTTTTTGCATTCATATTAAAATTAGTTTTAAAAATGACAAAAGAAGGTGTAAAGAGAGAACTTTTTTTTTTTTTAATTATTCACCTCCCCAAGGCCCGAGGGGGTCACTACAGTCGAGGAGGCTACTCAATTTTTTGTTGTTGTTGTTGTTGTTGTTGTAAATCGTGGTACAACCCTCTCTCAACTCTTTAACTGCGAAACACAAACCTTGACAAGCAAGGCCGCTGCGCGGAGAAATTAAGTTGAGCGCGGTACTTCGTGGGGCGTGGTGGGAGTCGAACCTCTTGCTTACAAAGCGAGCGCTCTTACCACTACACCACTTCCGCAAAACTACACATAACAAATTCTTGGGACTGTCTATTATAATATTTAAATAGACAAGAAGCAGATAAGATGTTTAAATACACAAAACTTTATAGTTTTGCTGTGTCATGATTTGGTAAGCTATGTTATTGTGGCAAAATCAGCACCTAATATAAAGTCAAAATTATGTTAAAAGAGTGCTAACAAAAATGTTTTTGGCTTTTAAGTCAAGGTGATGAACTAGCTATGGAGCGGTATGAACAAAAAAATGTGAACATTTGTTTTCATAGTCAATAGTTTATAGTTAGTTTAAAAATGAACTATAAAATATAAAAATATAAATTGTCATACAGTTCATAGTTCACAATTTCAAATTTAAAACAACAATACCTTATAAAATTATTATAATATTAGTATGAAACATAATATAAATAATATAGATT